TCCCTATTCTTGTGTTTTCCTGTTGCTCCATATCCTTGTTACCTCAAGCCAATTTTAGCTGCTTTACCTCATACCTGTTTTTCTCACAGATAATGACTTGTGCTTTCTAGCTTGCATGGCCTCCCACTTCTGCTGCCTTTTTGGCCTTTGTTTTTGGCAATCCCTGGTTTCTATCTAAAGCAGTTTTATGAGTTTGATCCTTTCTGTCTGGGAGTTGTCCAGTTGGCACCAGAGAGATCTGTTTTTGCTCCTGCCTGTGTGTGTACCAGGCGTGCATTTTGTCAAGGTGCCAGTCTGCAGTTACAAGAAACAGGGGTCACAAAATAGAGACCTGTTTTACCATGTCCTGAAGAGCAGAATTGTATCTAAAATACAAAAACAGAGCGATGTTTTCTTTCTACCACGGCAGAAAAGCCATTGTATTGAAAGCCCAAAATCAAATGTCAGAGGCACACAAACTTCTGCAGAAATTGTTGATCCACTGCCAGAAAACCAAGAACACCGAGATGGTGATTAGGTAAGAATGTTTCATTTTCAGAGTATTAAAGCCACTTTGCAGTGATTAGAATCAGCCATTTCAATTTGTCTGTGTTCAGACTTCACTAGTCTTCAGATTACCTGCTGTGATTTTGAGATTACAGAATCATTTCAGTTATTAATCATGCTATGGAGGAATCCTCAAAATATTGTGGCATTGAAACCTACATATATTTAAAATGTAAACTAAAAGGTGGTCAACTTCAAATTCCACAAAGATTTATGGAAAAAGGAAACACTGCATCTAAAATAAATAGGAAATAGTAATATGTGTGTGGTTGTACCTTAGTGCAAACCTTCAGAGTAGTTACAGTGTTGTTTAATCTCTTGTATCTCAGTGGCATTTCCTCTTAGGGGTGTAATTTAAGTTTATAGTATGTGCAGTAATGTAATTAATAATAAAACCAATACTGTTACGGATGGAAAAATTCCTTGGGAAACAAGCTTTCAGCAATGTTTGTAATTCCTTCCCTCTGTTTTGTCAGGGTGCTGCTGTCAATAGCAGAGCTGTACTGGAGATCTTCGTGTCACACCATAGCCCTGCCTGTGCTGCTGCAGGCCCTCGCCCTGGCTCGGGAGTACAGCCTGCAGTACTTGGCTTCTGAAACTGTGCTCAACTTGGCTTTCTCCCAGGTAAGTCTGATTTGTGTTTTCACAGGGCTGTAGGGTAACATTTATTCCAGGGTTCTGGATGCTGTTTTTACTCCTGTGAGATTTAAGAACACAGCCTTGTTGGAATTAAATGATTGATTCTCAAGAAGCGTACTTGGAACGTAAAAGCTTTCGAGGAAGTTAATAAAAGTTGAGTTTTGTGTGTATCACTGAAAGGTATAGTTATTGCATATAATTAAGCAGCATAAATTTGTCCTGCCTTAATTTCTTTGGTTATTTTTTATGCTGGTATTCTGGCTTTCAAGGAGTTCGGGTTGCCTCGTGTATTAAAAATAATGCTGGCAATGAGTTGAGTTATATTGTTTATTCTGAGAGATGTGGCTGTCAGCACTGACTCAGTGGAGAAGCCATTCCCAATCATTTCAGATAGCAGCTCATTTCTGCTGACAAGTTTAATCTGAAAGAGAATTGTGGGGGGAAAAGTTGACAAAAAGAATAATAATTGTCCTACACCCTTGTCTGTAGTGCATTGTATTATTAGAAACAGATGTGACTTCCCTGAAGAAGCTCCTACCAGTGGATTCCAGTATGACACCAGCAAGTATTTCTCTTCCAGCTGATCCTTGGCATTCCTGAACAAGCCCTGAATATCCTGCACATGGCAATAGAACCCATCTTGGCCCACGGAGCTGTCCTGGACAAAGGCTGTGCCATGTTCTTGGTGGCCAAATGTCAGGTGGCTTCTGCAGCTTCCTACTCTCCACAAAAGAAGATTGAAGGTAGTGTGAAGGGTAATTCTCCTCACTGAAACTGTGCTCAGAAGCGCAAGCCAGTGTTGATACTGGTGTCCTGCTACACCATTACCATTAAAAAAGTGTGTTACCTGGTTAGCAGATACAAAATTAAGTTGGAATTAGTTATTCACCAGTTGTTTATGCTGGAACCTTGTTTGTCTGCACACTTTCACACCATATTTTGCAGCAAAGGCTGAATAACAGAAACCAGCTAGAAGACCATGTTGCTAAGACACCAGTGGTTTTGAAAAGCTGAGGAATTTATAATTGGGCTCCTTAGAATTGAGCTCCATTGCTTGGAGTTGTTATTGTGATATTGTCTTAAATACCTGTCCCCCTTTTGCCCACAGCTTTAGAATCTGCCATCTTGAACCTGAATGAAGCCAAGACTTACTTTGCCAAGGTGGACTGCAAAGAGCAGCTCAGAGACGTTCTCTACTTCCAGGCCCGGCTGTTCCACACCCTCGGCAAGACCCAGGAAAGGAACAAATGTGCCATGTTGTTCCGGCAGTTGCACCAGGAACTGCCAGCACACGGTGTCCCCTTAATCAATTCCTTCAAATGATGCATTTCAAGATGAGACTTGTTTGTTTTTCTGGGTTTGGGGTTTTTTTTTACAAACATCTTTATTATATTCAATCATCCGTGTTTCGGAATAACTGCCAATAAATCATGGTCTGGCACTGAACAAACCTGTGTTTTGTTTGTAGTGACAAGGGCAAGTGTTGCTTTCAACCCATTTCCTTTTTATTCTGCACTTGAAATTAAGAATTGAATGGGGAGAAAAGAGAAAAGCCCCTCTTGACTGTGTTATAAGCATGCTGAGGGGGGTAGCACAGTCATGATAAAAAACAGTGTTTGTTCTTAGTAGTGACATTTCCAGAATCAGTGCTGGCTTTATGAAGACTGGGGCACAAAAAATAGTGAGAAGTGGAAGCAAAGCTCCTTTGTGCTCCTTTTAAGTGGTGTGGAATGGGGAGTCTGATTTAAAACATGTCCTTGCTTTTAACCTGTCTGCAGTCACTGTTCATGCTGTAGAAACAGATGGAGCTGCCAGAAGGGTTCAGTCAGAGGTGTAACGGTGCAAAGTCCCGGGGCTGTGGTTACACGTGTCCTTGTGCAGAGAAAAAAAAGCCCCAGCTCTGCTGAAATGTTTTTAATTTGTGTGTTCTCCCCTCAGTGCTGTGTATCATTCACCTGCTCTGCTTTTATGGGTGAAGGGGCCCACAGGAAACTGGAGAGAGACTTTGGACAATGCCATGAAGTGACAGGACAAGGGGGAATGGCTTCCCACTGCCAGAGGGCAGGGTTAGATGGGATATTAGGAAGAAATTCTTCCCTATGAGGGTGGTGAGGCCCTGGCACAGGTTGCCCAGAGAAGCTGTGGCTGTCCCATCCCTGGAAGTGTCCAAGGCCAGGTTGGACAGGAGCTTGGAGCAACCTGGGATAGTAGAAGGTGTCCCTGCCCATGGCAGTGGACATGTTGGAACAAGATAGTCTTAAGAGCCCTTCTAACCCAAACCATTCCATGATTCTGTAACTGAATAGCCAATGTGCTGACGTTGTCTTCTAGCAATTAGATGCTCACTTTGGAAGAAAATTTCCTGTTGACTGTATTGTGGGATTTCAGGGCAGATGGGATTGCACTTTTGTGAGTGTAAACCTCTTGTAAGTGAACCTTGGGGAGGGGTGTGCCAGTCACCCTGTGACTGTATAAAAGCTGAACATCATTTAACACCTGGAGATCCCCTGCCTGAAAGCAATAGATTTAACTGTGGCATTGTCAGCAAGAGAAAGCAAGACCAGACCTAAACCTGGGTTTGCTGGAGCCCTGCCAGGTAAGGAGGAAAAGAGAAGTGGTTGAGACAAGGGTAGTCCAGAGTTAGTTTACACATCCTGCTAATTAGTGCTGCATCGTGGCTGTTGGCAGATCATCGGGGCCTTGATTTTAAAACAGTGACTTCCCAACAGCAAAGAGGAACCCAGCTTTGTGGGAATGCTGGTGTTGGTGGCTTGTCCCTTCTCAGCTATGTTTTAATCACTGTCAAGGGGTTCAGTCTTTAAAATGTTTGGAGCACCTACTATGTTACAGCAAGTGCATAAGCTTGATTTCTAGAGTGGCTTTCAAGATGCTGGTCAAAATAGCAGCGTTTATCAAGGAAGCTGGCATGGGAGCCTGGCTCTGCTCCGGGAGCTTTTACAGTGTCAAAGTGGTGCCCACAAACAGGTCTCAAAGCAAAAAGAGGAAGAGGGTTTGGCCAGCTGTGGCTTTCACATCTACTCGAGGCTGAAGCTGTTGCTTCATGAAAAGCAGAGTCCATCTGAAAAACACAGGTGAGCTCTGCACAGGAATGGTGCTGGATGGGATCGTGCTCCAGAAGAAAAGCCAAGTAATTTGCATGGACAAAGTAAGGGCTGTTTCCCCAGGGCTAGTGCAAGCCGGGGTGTTATAAAGGGTTCTGTCCCACCACTGCAGAGCTGCAACCCGTGTGGGGGCTGTGTTTGGTGGGGGCAATGGCCTGGCAGTGGCAGCTGTGACATTCCCAAACAACTGGTTTCCAAAGCTCCCCTTCAGGTGATGATTTGGGAAACCGCTCAGCGAAGGTCCGGGAGAGCTGGCACAGGTAACCCAGTTCGCACCCAGCCTCTGGAAACGCGCGAGACGCGGAGAGGGAAGGGGCGGCGAGGGATAGCGGGGTTCGTGTCCCCGAGGCAGGACAGGGGAGCCCGCAGCGGGAGCGGGACCGCGGGAGCTCCGCGCTGCATCCCGCGGGGAGGCGAGGCGGGGCAGCGCGGCCCGAGGGGGGATAAAACCGGAAAATAATAATTATGCGTAAACGAAAGAACAAAACCCACCCCAAGAGTGGCTTGCGGGGGGTGGGCGGACAGGATGCGGCTGCCCGGGGGGGAAACCTGCCCTTCCCGGGGCGGAGCGGGGCCCCTCCCTCCCTCCCTCCTTCCATCGCTCCCTCCCTCTTCTCCCTCCTTCCCTCTCCTCGCTGCCGCCGCGGAGCGGAACTGAAAGCGAAGGCGGCACCGGGCGGCCGCGCTCCGGCCCAGGGCTGCGGGGTCTGCGGGGTCGCGGGGCCGCTCCCGCCGGCGGAGCGGCGCGTCCCGCCAGGTCGGTGCTGCGGGAGCGGGCGGGGAGGCCGGGCGGGCCCGCGCGGGGGATGCGGCCGCGGAGACAAAGCCGCGCCCGGAAGGGACCGTGCGGGCGGGGCCGGGATGGAGCCGGGGACGGAGCGGGGAGCCGGGGATGGAGCCGGGGTGGAGCTGGGCTGCGAGCGGCAAGCGGCATCGCCTCGGCGGGGCTCCCCGCGGATTCGGGGCCGGCCTGTGCGGGCACTCGGGCTGTCATTTCCCCATCCGCTCCCACGAGCTGCGCCGTGGCCGCCCCGGCCCCGCACACATCCCGCTCCCGCCGGCCCCGACACGCGCCGCGGGACCCGGCGGCATCCCGGGAGCGGGGATGGGACAGGGCGGGGTGTCCCACAGACCCCATGGGGCTCCTGCCCGCGGGGGGCTGAGCGCTGGGACCAGGGGTGCCAGGGAAAGATAGGCCACGGGGTTGGGAAAAGGGGGGAATTTTTAAGGTCAAGGGGCAAATGAGAGGCCAGAAGATGTAGCTGGTGGAGCAACTGCGTACAAGGGACAGGTCTCGTTAGAAACAGCCACAGGTTGGGTTGCTGCGAGTGACCGAGTGTGGATAGGAGGTGGGATGCAGCCCTGTGGCCACGTGCACGGCACGGAGCATCAGGAGCATGGAGGTGACAGTAAAGACCAAAAGCAGAAGTGAGATGACCACAGGAAGCTGGTGTGATGGAACTGCGGGCTGTTTGTGTGGCTGTGAAATGCTACAGGGGCAGAAACCAGCCCTGGGGACAGGACTAGGTGGTCCTCGGGGCCAGGGGGACCGTGCTGGGGAGAGGGTGTGTGGTAGCTGTGGGCACTGGAGTTCCCCTTCATGGCCCCAACTGGAGAGACAGCCCTTCTCCTGGGAGAAGGAGCCCTGTCCTTCTCCTGGCCCCTTTCCATCAGCACTTTGTTTTGGGAAAAATAGCCAACAAACCCCAGAAGCCCATACCTGAGTGTGCCACGAGGGGTGTCTGATGGATCAGCCCTGTTCCAGGAAGGTAATTTGGAGGAGGCTTTGCTTTCAGCTCGGCCCTAATGTCTTTTAAGTGGCATTCAGAAAGTGCAGAGCTGCTCTCCTTTCCTCTCTTGTGGCCATTGCAGGCTGGAGCTGATGTTCCCAGGAAAGCCGGGAGCCGTTTGACAATGCTGGACAAGCTGATGGTGGTGGCCTGAGCTCATCCCAGCCTGTGCTCAAATGCAATGTCTGGAGCTTACTCTTGTCTTGGGATACTCATTATATATTCCTTAATCCTCAAGATTATAAAAAATCTTGGTAAAGATGTTTTTGTGACTCCTATTGAAACCTGCCTCTGGGTTTCACCCCACTACAATGCTCCCAGCCTGGCTTTGCATTTTTTCCCCAGTTCTTTCCCTGGTGTTGGATGAGCCAGGCAGCACAAGAGGCTCTTCTGTTTGCCCCAGGGATGATGAAAAGCTTCTCTGCTTCTGCACAGGGGCTGAGTGTAGATAGGGCCTGGTGCCTGTTTCCAGTATCTCATAATTTTGGGTGTCCTCTGACTTCTAGAGAAGCAGCTGAGAGATTTTTTTCCCATTAAAAGTCAGGTGGGGGTGCATATGGTCTTTGTATACTACAGTGACTAATATATTTCTGGCAAGGTCTGCACTCACCCGTAGGAAGGGAAAGTGTGATCGATGCCCCCATTGCTGCAGATGACACCACTCCTGGCACGGGCACTTCCACCGCTGACCGTGACCAGGGAAAGCAAAATAGCCACTGGACTCAGCCCAGGGAGACCAATAACTGCCCCAGGCTGGCCCCAGTTGGCTTTTAACCACAGACCTTCAGTGGCAGCAGGGGAGGATCCTCTGTGAATAAAATCCGCTCTGGTTTAGGAGGTTTGAGTTCAGTTTTGTGAGCAGCTTGTTTTGCAGTGTGGGAGCTGACCCCCAAGGAAGGATGGATGGAGGTGTCACTGCTGAGCTGCCACCACATCTTACTGCCTTGGGAGGGTCTGATCCTGACACTGTGTCTGGCCTTGCCACAGGGAAGCACGTGGAGGGGGGAAGGCGAGTGCGTGGCAGCACCATCCCTTCGCCTGCCCTGCATGTGGGTAGAGAAGCAGCTCCAGGGAGGGAAGGGCAGGCTGAGGCATCCATGTGTTCCCATTTAAATCTCGTGCTGGCTGCAAGGTGTCATCCTCTGCACTCCCCCAAAATCAGTCGGCGTGTTCCCATCCGGGGGTGGCTGCATCCCAGCAGGAAGCAGGCAGGATCCAGGCAGAGAGCAAGCGCTCACAGCAGAGCTGGGGCGGCCCGAGGGGGCTGTGGAATCACTTCACTCTCGTGGGGGCCGATTTCACTCCCATTCATTTCCGCTTAAGCCACGTGGGCACTGAGCAAGAGGCAGAGCTGCTGCCAGGGCTTCACAGACCTCTTTTCATTTTAATATCCCTCTCCTTGCTGAATTAGATGCGAGACTGATTGCTTCGATAATCCTGCTGCAGCCGCTATGGGTTATATATGGATTGCAGCCAAGAGCTGTGCCGATAAATCATTCCTATACACCAGGCTGTTATATTTCCTGAGGATTTTGTGGGCATGTGCTGCTCCCTTTTACATAAGGATCTGCTGGAGTTCATACCAGAATGTGCTGCTTTTCCCCAGGCAAGGACCCGGATGGGTTGGTGAAGCCAGACCCTCCAGGCTGTATTTCCCCTGTTTGGATTTATTCCCCCCCCATCCCAGCTACTTTACTTTTCCCTCTGGCTGGGAATACGGTTGTTTTCCTCCACCTCCTCTTCCTCAGCCTCCTGATGTGCTTATTAAGGATAACAGGGCTGTGTTCAACAGTGTGACCCCACTTTTGGGTTTCTCCTGGGGAAGGTGTCATCTCACAGGACAGTGTCTGCAAAACTCTGTCCTCTGACCCTCTGCACACATGCAAAGGGAAAACCCCTCAGATTTTCCACTCCAGCCAACGTTACGATGGGGCTTGGATGACTTTTAGCCTGTTTACAGAGCCTGGGGAAGCCTGCTTGAATTAATCAGACTTGATATGTTTATCCTGGTCAAGCCAATTAACTCCCGCCAGCCAGGACACGCTCAGCTCTTAAGTGTGACAAGACTTCATAACTCAATTTTGCTGTAGCCTGGCAAAGTTTAGCAGGAATCCTTGGAAATTTGGATGCTTGGGGGGCAGGATGGGATGCCTAGCAGTGCTGTGCCACTGCTGGGGACCGGTACTGCTGCCAGTGATGTTCCTGGGATGGCTTCATCCTGGGGCTGCCCTGATGAGCTGCCTTTTTTGGTGCGGCCGCGGTGCCCGGTGAGGGTACAGGGCACAGCATTCGGGATCGGCTCCGGCTTCAGGGGCAGCTATTTATATGTGCCCGCTGGAGAGGTGCCCACAGCAAGCCAGGCAAATGGCAACTGGCCTTGAGATGCATCCCTGTGGATTCAGGATGAATGGGGGGGCCTGCCTGTTTGTTTTAATCCATTTGGGAGTGCATTAAAACACGCTGCCGTGGGCTGCCAGCAGCGCCGAGGGGGAATTTGGCTTGGCTGGTGACTCCCGGCTCTCTCATCCAGCAAAACCCCGTCCAGGAGCGGATTCAGCCCCACCAAATGCGGCGTTTCTGAAATAGTTTGTCCTTGTTGCTGTTTGTTGGCTTATTTATAGCCTCCCCATCCCTGTGCTTCTCCATGCCTCGAAGCAGCCAAGCAGTGCCGGGTTGGCTTTAGCTCCAGGCCGATCCCACTCGGGCAAAAAGGCTCCGGTTTATAGACTGGTGTTGAAAACAGCAATTAGGCCATTGTGAAGCCTCGAGGACGGGGGAGACGATTTGATTTCTGTACTTGACCCATAATTTCTGCTGGGCTGATTCACAGTGGTTGTGGTGCGGGTGCATCACGGAAACTTCAATGGAGATGAGTGGAGCTAATTTTAACCGGCCGCCTCGTCGAGGTGTGGGAACCAGGCAGAAAAACGCCTCAGACCCTGTTCCTGCTTCAGGGCTGGTTGTTTCAGGATATTTTTTTTCTCTTCTTTCTGCGGCAACTTGTTAACCTAGAAATTAAAAACAGCACCAGTGTTGCAGCAGGGAAGGGTGATGGTTTACAGCCAATCGCCCATCGAACTGCCCTGGCTGCTGCAGCACGTGTCAATTAAGACAATTTTTCCCCCTTTTAAAATTATTATTTCATTATTTGATTTTTTTAATTCTTTGTTGCTAACAGTTTTCTCATTTATCTCAAGGTCCAGGGACCTAAGTTTTGCACAGAAGGCCATAAGGGAACCCGGGGCGAGGAAGAGAAATCACTGACAATGACAAGCTGTGGGAAGAGGGAGTGAGCTGGGGGGGTGATCCTGCACCCCATGGTTGGTAAGTGGGTCCCTGTGCCCCTGAACTGCTTCCTTTGGGGGATGTTTGGCAGAGATGCGCCCGCTCCGAGCACTAAAGTAGGGAACTCAACAATATTTATGCCACTGCAGTGCAAGCTGTAAAATAACACCTTGGGGTATTTCTGTAGTGGAAATGATGGAATTATTATTTCCTGGAAGTGTTTAAATAAAAAGGGTGGAAGGAGCAGTGGCAGCAGCCTTGGGGCTGAGGCTGTCTCCAGCCTGGGGTCTGCTCCGTGGCAGGGTGGGTGCACATCCCCAGTGCCATCGTGTGCCACTGCCCCTGGCTTTACCATTCTCCACGGACGGAATAAATCAATCTGTAGAGCAATGACCGGTGGGAGGAAATCCTGCTTTCCAGGGAAGCCTGGCTGACCCACCCTGTGTTTGCAGGGACACCTCCCCGTGGCAGCATGGCCAGGATGAGGCCGTCGCCCACCCCACACCGCCACGTGTCCCCGGGATCTCGCCCGCCCCGCGGCCCCTCTGCCGTGCCGGAGGCTGCGGCTGAGCCCCCGCGGCGCTGCGGGACCCCCCGGCGCTGAGCCCCCGCCGCGCCGGCATGGCCTCGCTCATCGTGGTGACTGAGTACGACGCCACGGCGAGCACGAGCGAGGAGGAGATGGACGTGCCCGGCAGCGAGGGCTTCGGGGACGGCCGGAAGCTGCACCTCTCCGGCCGAAAGCTGTCCCTGCAGGAGCGGCCGCAGCCGGCGCGCTCGCCCGGCAACGGCGACGGCGCCAACGAACGCTTCATCTACCCATCCCTGCCCTACTCCCCGGTGACGTCCCCACACTCCTCCCCGCGGCTGCCACGGCGGCCCACGGTGGAGTCCAACCGCGTGTCCATCACGGGACTGCAGGTGAGGGGGTGAACGCTGCTCCCGTGGTTGTCCTGCCCCTGCCCTCCTGGATTTCCCCACCACAGTGTTGCTTCCGCTTGTTTTTTTGTCTGCATATGTGTGGTGGGAGGCAGTGGGACATTCCAGTCCATCCTGGGCCACGGGGACATCCCTTAGGAAGTTGAGACCTCCAACTCACTGTTTTTTGTGCCTTTTGCTGACGCCACCAGCTGTCACGGCTGCGTTTTGGGGAAGCCAGGAGCTTACCGTGCTTCTCTTTCTCTTCTCCTTAAAAATAAAAAAACAGAGAGATCCACTGAAATCTAAAGAGAAAACAGCCCTGCCTGCCCCCAGCCTGACAGAAAACAGGCAGCAAGCAGCTGCTCTGTCCAGAAGAAATAAAATTACTCAGCGCCAAGTCGCCAGCATTAAACCCCCGGGCTCTCCCAGCCCATCGTGCGCTCTCGTTCCACGTGAGTGGTCAGTATCATTAACATTAGCAATTAAACATATATAAACACACCAGCGTGTGTGGCTCATGAATCAAAGCTGCCCAGGCAGAGCAGGACAAGGGGTGAGTTTGCAGAGAAAGTTTTGCTGGAGATTTAAAGGGAGGAGAGCAAACCTGAGCGTTTTGGTGGCTCATGTCTAACCCCCCCTCTCTTCCCACAGGACTGTGTGCAGCTCAACCAGTACAAGCTGAAGGATGAGATTGGGAAGGTGAATATTGGCTGGGTTTGGGGTGTGATAGGCGGATTTGGGATGGGAGGGTGTTGGGCTCACTTTCATTTTCCAGCCAATGAGTTCAGCCACTCACCACAGCAGCTCTTTGTTGCCCCTGGTCTGTTCTGAGTGGTGCTGGTTGAATTGTATATTTTTAAAATTATTATTAATTTTCCCCATGCCCCCTTCCTCCCAAGAAATGGGGCATTTGAAGCTTTTCTTTGCTGTTGGTGTGATGTCAGAGCGTACACCCCGCTCCTCCCAGCATTGCTCTGTGATCCCAGTGGGGGCGGGTTTGCAGAGGAGTCCAGAGCCCGGTTTGGTGATGTGGGTTTTTTTGAATTGTCCCTAACTGGTGCCCCATGGCTGTGCCCCTCTCCAGGGCTCCTATGGGGTGGTGAAGCTGGCCTACAATGAGGATGATAACACCTACTATGTGAGTAGTGCATGGCCCTGGAGCAGGGCAGATGGGATTGGGATGGATTCCCTTCCAGCTGACCCCCTGTGCCAGCCCCATCCCACCAGCCCCATTTTGTCCTTGTTTTGCTCTAAATTCCACATTTGTTCCCCTCTTGCAGGCAATGAAGGTTCTCTCCAAAAAGAAGCTGATGAGGCAGGCAGGCTTCCCCCGTAAGTGGCACAAAACCTTTAGGGTGGAGGATGATTTGAGGTCCCCAGGGGATTGATCCCGACCGGACACCCCATCTTTCCCTTTCCCACAGGCCGCCCGCCGCCCCGCGGGGCCAAAGCTGCCTCTGAGGGCTGCCTGCAGCCCAGAGGGCCCATCGAGCAGGTCTACCAGGAGATTGCCATCCTCAAGAAGCTGGACCACCCCAACGTGGTGAAGCTGGTGGAGGTAAGTGCTGACCAACCCCTTCCCAAAATTCATCCTGAGCGGGTGGAGGGAAGCGACCGCAGAGGGGCTGAGATGGTCATGGCAAGCCCTGCCTTTGGGAGACTTGTCTTTTCCTTGGTTTAAAAGGTTTTTTATTCTCATCTCCCAAAAGATGATTTTTTTTCTTCCCTGTCCAGAAGGGAAATGCAGAAAAATGTTGCTTCCTTGGAGGAAACAAGTGCTCAGATGGGTTTTGGGGAAGAACTGATGTTTCTGTGGGTTCAACAGTGCAGCTGCCTTGCCCTCCGCCCACTGCCTGTATGAAATGGTCCAGAAAATCAAGAATTAAGGATGTGCAGGCTGGAGTTTATTTGGCTCATGAGTCAGATGATGCTTCCTGTGTGTTTTAAATATTTGCTTCCTTGAAGTACAGCTACATCTCTGTCCTCCTTTTTTTTTCCCCACCCTTGTGGGTAGAAGCTTGGAGATGAGCAGACCGTGCTGATGGTGCAGATGGTGCAGAACTGAGATGGCTGCTAAATAAAATATCACAATGTTTATTTTGCAAGGGGTTTTTTTGGTGCTTTTTAATTGCCTTTCTACTTCTTTTGACAGGTCCTGGATGACCCCAGTGAGGACCACCTGTACATGGGTAACTGCCCACTGCCCCGGGGGGTCAGAGGGATGGGGCAGCAGGTTCCTGCTGTCTTTTGGGGTGGCTGCATGTGGGGTTGGGTCTCTCCTTCACCATGAGTATAGCCTGGATGTGCTAGAGGAGCAAAGAGGATGCAGTCTGAGTTGTGAAGGGAGATAGGAGTGCTTTATAGCACTTCACTGGTTTTAATTCAATGTCAGGACATGCTTTGCCATGAAAGGCACCAGCACTGATTATTGTCAGCTTTGAAGCCAGGCTGATAGAAAGGAGTTTTATTTGTTTGGCTTCGAGAACAAGGCACAAGTTAATTATCCACAGCACAAATGGGCCCCTTCCCACCCTGTCTGGCAGACCATAGTGGTTTGCTTGATGCAAACTTACACTTCTGGAGGCATTATTTCTATTTCATCATTTATGTTCAGCCTGTACTAGTGGAGGAGTGTGTGATGCCTTCATGGCCAAGCGCAGAGGTTTGCTCAGGGCATGGGCTGGGACTTTTTGGTGGCAAACTGAGGGTTTTAATGTGCCATGGAGGGCACTTCACGATGCTGAGGCTGCAGCACTGAGAAGGCAGTTGGCAGCATCCCCTTAACTGAAAATGGGAGCAACCCAAATGCCACGTGCCTTGCATAAGACGGCATCTCCTTTTTAAAAATAACACATTATTTTTAGAATTTTTATCATTAAAATAATTGCTTTTGTGCTGAGACTGTGCTCGGAGGAGCTCTATGCTGTAAGCTATCCGTAATCACCTTCTCTTTTGCGTTGCAGTGTTTGAACTGGTGAAGCAGGGGTGAGTACTGAATTCCAGATTTAAACCTACTAATGCATGAACACGAGACAGGTTTGTGGGTGGCACAGCTCAGCCACCTGAGGTGGGTGTGGGGTGCAGAGGTGATAGGGAGGTTCATGGTGGGGCTCCTACAGGTTTGGGTTGTGTCTCCCCAAGGTAGTTACAGCTGTGTACATCCTGTATGTGCCTGTGTTTGGTGTTGTGTGCTGTCACCAAACGGTGGCAAAGCCTTCAGGACCTGTTTTGGCACATCCAGATGGAGAATGAACTCCATTCTCTGTTTCCTTTGCAGCCCCGTGATGGAAATCCCAACCCTGAAACCTCTCAGCGAGGACCAGGCTCGGTTCTACTTCCAGGATCTGATCAAGGGCATTGAATACTGTAAGTGTCTCTGCAAAAAGGATGGGAGCTGGACCTTCAGCTCGTGTGTGGTGCCGTTGTGCTGCTGCTGCATCACTTGTTTTCCCTTTGGCTGCAGTGCACTACCAGAAGATAATCCATCGGGATATTAAACCTTCCAACCTCCTTGTGGGGGAAGATGGGCACATCAAGATTGCTGACTTTGGAGTGAGCAATGAGTTCAAGGGAGCCGACGCCCTCTTAACCAACACAGTGGGCACCCCTGCCTTCATGGCCCCAGAGACACTCTCAGAAACCAGGAAAATTTTCTCTGGAAAGGTATTTAACAGCACTTTGAGGGGTTTTGGACTAGTCTTCCTCACACACACTGTCTCTTGTAGATCTGACTGGGCTTTCTTTGCTCTGCAGGCTTTGGATGTCTGGGCCATGGGGATCACGCTGTACTGCTTCGTGTTTGGGCAGGTAATGACATGGATTTTTCAGTGCTGTTGGTGTTCTGGGGGGTTTGGCGAGTGCCTCCCATGTTCCAGGTACATGGTGGGATGAGCACCCCACATCCCTGTTTGAGCCAAGTGGAGATGGGGATATATGGATGGAAATGAGGAACCTCTGCCTGTCCCTGGGATGGATGCAGCCAAAAGGGCTGTGTTCTCTTTTTCCCCAAGTGAAAAAATTCTGTGGCTGGGTAGATTTTTTAGGAAAGAAGCTCTTGTAGTAATTGGTAGTTTTTGGTCAAATGTTATTTTCAGTGCATTTAAAAGTAGACATTGATATAATAGGAAATCTTTTGGAATTTCCCTATAACTGGATCCTTGCTCTCCTTCAAACCCTATGAGATCCTGATGCCCCTCTGGCTGCCCCACTGCTGCCTTTTAACAGAGGTTGTTGCTTTCCTCATTTCTGTTTTTCTTTGATAGTGCCCTTTTATGGATGAAAGGATCCTGAGTTTACACAATAAAATCAAGACCCAAACATTGGAGTTCCCAGACCAGTAAGTACTCAAAAATAAAAACAACCCATCAATCCACTTTACAACTCATGTGAGTTGTTTCTCAGGCAGTGCCTGGGTAGGGCTGGCCCTGCTCTGCTGTGGTTTTGCAGAAGTCAGGCTCTGAGCCCTTCTGTTGGCCTTGGACCTGGAAATGTCCTTTGCATTAAACATGAAGGCAACAACTCCTGGTTTGCAGTTGCTGAAGAAGGAGCAATTGCAGTTGCAGAGGTGTTTGAGGGAATGGATTAACCTCTGCAGTTACTGCCTGGTGGGTTTTAGCCTGGGTGGAGCTGGTACTGG